CCCCACTACGCCTGTTTTTTGCTCCTGGCCACACAAGTGTGTTTTTATGTTTAGTAGCTGTGTTGGTCTGAGACAAAAAGACATACAAAAAGTAGAACTCTTGGTTCCAAAATGATACCTTTTATTAGACCAACTGGAAAATGGCAAGAAAATAGTCCTTTTCTGCAAGCTTTCGGGATCAAAGTCCCTTTGTGAGGCTCTGGGAAAAGTGTAGATGTTCCTGAAACATGGAAGATGCCGAATTTTAGCCGATATTGAATTTTAAACTTCATTGCAGAACAATAAGTGTTTGTTTTGTTTTTTTACCTCCCTGCCTGTCATCGGACACCTCCAGGGAAAGAATTCTATCTGATCACCACATCAAAGAGCTGCTCAACACATCTCACAAAGACATGTTCATGGACCCAGAGGGACAACCTTCCATCTTCAGCTCCCTCTGTGCAAAAATGAAGTTTATTTCCTACCTATGGGTACTTTTTACCATCTTGTACCATCTACACTTTTCCGAGAGCCTGACGAAGAGACTTTGCAGAAAAGGACAGTTTTCTTGCCTTTTTCCAGTTGGTCTAATGAAAGGTATCATTTTGGAACCAGGAGTTCTAGTTTTTTGTGTCTTTTTATGCTTAGGGATAAGAAGTAACATCATAGGTCAAACTATACCTTTTAAGGTTCACTTTAAGTAATTGTCATACTCCAGGCCCTTCATTTCCACTCCCCAGAAAGTTAACAGCATCTCTGTCCATTTGTAAATTGCTCAGCTGGAGGTAGTTGCATTTTTCTTGAGTTAAAAGTTTATCTGAAATTTTATTCCATCCCCTCTAATTGGACTGCATTAGAAGGAATGGGGCTTAAATAACTGAATGTGCTTTTAGGTATAACCTAATTAGATGATAAAAACCCTGCTGACTGCAGAGTCACTCAGGTTGCTTAAGTGTAACTTCTGGTAGTTCTGGCCATAAGATGCATGGTTTTTTAGCTCCTCAAATATTTTTATTTTAATTTAATGAAATGGTTGTACTCTCTAGGGGGTCAACTTTATCTGGAAGTTTGTGGATCCTTTAATCCATATATCTAAGACAGAAGCAGTTGATAGTCCTTTCACTTGCACCTGCTTCATATCAATTGCAACCAGCTCTTTGGGACTGGATGTTTTGTGATGCCCTCTTCCATCCCCTCCTAGTAATCAAAGCACACTTTGCCACTCTGGTATCCAGAAAAATGTTCTACTATACAAGGGCATGCCGCTCTGGGACTGGCTGCTGCTGTCCCCCTTCCCCCCCGCCCTCCCGGATGCAGAGGCGGAAGCTTGCACACAGCAGTTGCTGCCGCCATTCACCACCCGGTGTTGCTGCTTCACATGTGGCTGCTGCTCTGGGACCAGCCACTGCTACCGCCCCCCACCCCTCTGCTCCATGACTGGCTACTGTGCTGGTTTAAAAAATGCAACATCTTCGAAGTTGTAGCAAGTGCTCAGTCCAGAGCACACAGATTTATGAGGTTATACTGGACTTTGAAAACTCATGACAGCAACAGGAGATAGAAAAGTGGGAGTGGCAGAAACAGCATGCAGTGGACCAAGTTAAGAATCCAATGCCACTCACCCTGCACAGAAATGTCTGAGCTGCAGTAGCATCTGTTTATCCTGGATGGGCCTTATCAGCCATCTTTGGACACATGGATAAAACGGTCCTAGAAGATAGTCATCCTCAACTGTGAGGGAGTGCCAAAGACCAACTTATGGCTGTCTTTCACTGCTCATATGTCATTAGCCAATTAAAAAATGTTATATTGTGATATTACATTGGTGTTTGGTGTTATTAACAGAAAGCAAGTTGTCAGTATGACAGAAAGGACTACTTAAATTATAATTAAGTGAAAGCCTATTGTAAATATGGGAAATGCAATATCCGTCTCACCCCTTTCAAACTAACACATGCTTTATAACAGGGAAGGCAACCAGTGGCACACTTGCTGGACCAGGGCACTCAAGGCATTTTGCTTGGCACGCATGCCTTGGGGTGGATTGTGGGGGAGCTGCAAGGGGCCCAATCTTTGCTGTGGCAGCCCCAGCCCGTTCCCCACCATCTGCCTTGAGGCGTACATGCACCCACTGCCAGCAACGAGCCAAGGTGGGCTCTGCAGACCCTGGTGCAGCTGCTTGCAGCGTGCCTGCTGTTAGGTAGCCTGGGTTCTGGGATGGGTAGCAAGGGCCATGCCCAGACCCCAGGCTGGTTTTAGCAGGCAGCTGCAAGGCTGTAAGCAACTGCATTTGTGTCTGCGGAGCCCCAGCCTGGCTTGTTGCTGGTGGTGGGTACATGTGCACTTCTGGGTAGATGGCTGAAAAAGGGCCAGGGATGTGCTGCCACAACAAGGATCAGGCCCCTTGTGGCTTCCCCACCATCCACCCCTAGCACGCCAACATCTTACAAGTTGAGGTTATGAGTGTTTTTTGTTTTGTGCCCCGAAACACTGCTGACCCCTGCTTTATATTGTCTGTTTGTCTGGTTCAAAGATGTAGTTTTTTCAGTTGCACTTGTAGTGCACCAGCAGTCCTAGTTATCTTACTTGTTCTGATTTTTTTTTCATGTTATGCATTTCCTTTGTGTCCCTGTCCCCCCTACTTTAAAGTAGTTTTTTAAAGTCCGTTTGTGTTTAGCAATCAGTTTAACATCTTTGTCCCTTCATAGTGCTCATTCTAAATTTAGGATAATCATGAAGTAAAACTTTATGCTGTTAAAACCTGTGTAAAACAA